ATCCCGTTCGTTGCGGTCTTCCTCCATTGTACTTCGCATCCATCGATATTATTAAAATACAGAGGAAATCTTTGCATTTCTAGCGGAATATCTTCAACCTTTAACGTGGGTAATACCGATAGATCCTCCTTTCCTTCTTGCTTCTTAAGCAATTCCAATGACTGTTTGTAAATATGTTCTTGTTCGGAGGGTGTCAAAGTGGATACTTTTGATTCTAACCGTTTCGATTCTTCGGCGTTGATAATTTCAGTAAAGTTAGGGTCGGGCTCCATTATGCAGGTGAGAGTGTGAGGATTGTTGAAGAAGTATTTTTCAACAAGAGATTGAAAGAATGGACCGGATTTAATTTTTTCTCTTAAAATTTTGATATTCTGATAATTGAAAATAAACAATAGAACACGATCATATTAGTTACGATATTGTCTAATTAAGCATGATATGCGGTACAGCTTACCTTGTCAATTTCCAAAAGGTCAGCGGGATTGATATTGTTAAACCAGCCGGAACTTAGGCCATGCATTAAACTTAACCCAAAATCCGCAGTTTTCTATGTAAAAATCCTACAAGTTTGTAAAAAACAAAAAGAAAAAAAAAACCTTTCTAATATACATAATAATAATTACGTGTTTTTTGCTCAATTCTGATTGATGCAAAGCTGCTTCAATACGTTTAGGATCAAATCCATTTCTATGCACATCCTCGAATACTTTCTTGATAGTCTGTTCTGCCTGAGTGAATAGAAAAATCAACAATAAAGCTTCAACGGTTTCAAATTTTTACTTATTATTCCTTACCAACTCGATGTCTTGTGATCTCATTCCTTGTAATCCAATAGATATTGTGCTTACTCTATAAAAAAAATGTTATAATTTGTCATCACCATAAACTCTTCTTATAGTAATACATATACATATACCTGGTGGAACCATCGTAGCCAGTGTTATCAGAAAATCCCGAACCAATGTTGGAGTCTATTAATGCTTTGTGCATCGGTGATGCGTGCCCATCTAATAATAGGTAAGAAAACATTCTCAACGCAAATGATTCAAATACATCCTATGGTCAAATGAAATGGCATTTGTCAGTAATTGAATAAGACAATTAATTATTTTATTCTCAACTCATGATTTTATTTCGATAACTTGCATTTGTATCGCTTGTTAGATAGGAAACGGAAAACCAAGTCTGTTTTTCAGGGCTATTCACTAATCGTATTATTAAAGCAACGCCATGACATATCAGTTATGTTCATAAAAAGAAGAATGGATCCCTAATTCACTTATCACTTACTTGGATCAAGAGGCCCAGAGAATTTCACTTTCTTTGGAAACTCGAACAAATTTGGAAGTTTAGCACTCTTGTCGAGAGCTGATTTCCCAAAATTTTTTATCTTATCATCAATAACCATTAAGTGTTCATCTAGAGGGAAATTACCTGTAATAATATTATTTGTTAATAACAATATAATGTTGTAGATTAATTTAATAATTTAAGCAGAATTATCAAGTTAACCGACGCATCACACACAATAAAATCAGCTTACCATAGGTGTAAAACTTTGCATTACTTGGATGATAATGGAATCTGTGGAACCTCAAAAGTTCCTCGTACGTTAGATCCGTAATACACTTTGGTTCACCACCGCTATTATGTTCGTATGCAGTTCCTGGAAACATGTGCTTTTGAACTTGCGAACAAAATAAGTACCCTACGTCTGACTGGTGACGAAATAAATGAACGATCAGTCAGATGAATCGATTAAGCCATTCGCGTTTATTAATCTATTTTACCATTTGTCCTTTCATCTCATTATACACTACTCCTTTGAATTGTAGAGGTGTTGATCTATCTGTAATATATAAGAGCCGGTGAGGTAAAATGGATATATAATGGTTTAAATTAATAAATATCATATTTATTCAAATTACCTTGAGGAACCTGGTGTTCTAGTCTCCATCCTTCTTGTCGAAAGTCAAGTTCTTTCAAGTTAGGGTGAAATGTTGAGTCCATATAAACATCTCTCAGATTTTCGTAATCCAGCCGATGAGTGGTGGAAAATGGGTATATGGTGTAATCATCAGCTTAATGTAAAAAATTTTCGTCAAGAGTGTGATCGGAACTTCTGATAAAATAGAAATCAACAAAAAAAATATCAAACCAACCCGTGAAGGCATTCATAAAATTAGCCAAACTACGATTTAACATCTTAAAGAATGGATCTCTCACGGGAAATTTCTGACTACCACAAAGCGTCGTATGCTCCTTTTAGTTCGCCAATACAAAACTTTAATAAAAAGTAAAGGTAAAGCGGAAAAACGATCGAACATACTAATTATACCAAGATATGAGGTGTCCCACTGCTATCCCTAGGAGGTGTAGAAAATCCTACGCCAAAAACATTGTTATCATCTTCACGTGCTATGTGCAAGTGTTCTGCACCGGTCGCCTCGTGGACGAGCTGTGTTGCTGTAAGTTGAAGTTCTGGTATTCGCCTCGTCTGCAACAAGAATTATGAAGAATTATCGAATATGCCGAGAAAATAGCATTATTGAGGATTTATACCTCTTCCACTCGAAAACCGTGAATCCTATCGTTTGGTTTAAATGCTATCCAAATGAAAAATTCGATGAATTGTCTCCTTTCGAATATTATTTAATGATTTTTAGCACACCTTCGTTGATAGTAGAGTACGATCTCGTATTATCTTTGAAATTGAAGATCGAACGTGATGTATGATTGAGCTTGTGGGAATTTCGCAATTTCCCCGAAATTCCTCGTCTCATTAAAAGAGAATTCATCTTGATACCCGAGAGTCTATAATTTAGACCACGACCATCGTTTGATTATCTGCGCATCTCTGATCACGTGAATATCCAATATAGTTATTACCTCATATAGGAAGTATCTACAAGTTTAGACCTTAAAACATGACTGTGTCATAGAACAAAAATTTTACATAGTAGGCCATACACTTTGTATACGTATCATGTACATTTTAAAATCGAAGTAATGCACGATTTGGCGAGTAATATCTAGAAATGTCACGGCGTTCACCTCTGCCTATCCCTTGAAATTGAATCCAATATGAATAAATAAAGTTAGTCTTTACTATGCATATCGTATCCCATATAGGTTCAA